ATGTACTGTATTTATCTCTGACTTGTGTTTTTGCAGCATGTAATCCACTTTTTGATGGGTCCATATGCATGTAGGGTATGTGTCTACTGGAATAAAATTTTGATTCTTGATTCTTAACTAATTTGATCACTACAGTTAACTCTAGTTTGTACCAGCTCATAACTTGCTTGGAATCATGCCATAGATTAAATAGTTAGACTATGATGTCCCAAAGTCCATAGGTCTTCTAGAATTATTCAGACGAGTAAAATGATCAAAAGAATAGTGAAATTAAAATCCTTGATTTTAACGGGCAAAGTTATGACATCTCCGTTTCTTATACCCAACCTGTTGTATACCAGTCATATGATAAGCTATTACAACAATAGCATACCATATGAGAATTGCTTTCAGCGCAGAATTTACGCTTAATAGTTAATGCACGATATCGTAAAGTTATTCCCTCTTCCACGGCGGTTGCAAGCTAGAAAGTGTTATTTACAGTTTGGCCCTCGAGAGCGTAGCGGATTATAACTGCCGGTCGTGAGGTTTCGGTAAAAACTCGTGGGAAAGATTGCTTATTTATGAATAGTGCAAATTGCATGCGCACAGGAATAAGTTGGTATGAAAACAGATGTTGGCACGAGTCGTTCTCATTCTCCCGAATGCGCTTGGACATCGGGCGTACAACTCGTAAACATACCATTGACGTTGGATACTGTTAGAAAAATTGTCAAGCTATATTAAAATGTGAAGCCTTTTTTGACGTGTATTATGGCCAGCTACATTTGGGCACGCTCCTGTTGACTAAATTATTCCACTTCTTATTAAAGAATGTGAAAGTTTGATATCAAGGTGTTGTTCCTAACTTGACAAAGATAAATTATTTTTCAATGCAAAAAGAAGTCACAATTTTTATTGTGGAATATACAAAACGCAAAAACAAATTCTAACCGTTTAGAAAACACAAATTATTGCATGAAATAATAGTAGAAAGGGGTATAAGTTGATTTCTAAATTTATTCGTTACTACCCTTGCCGTGATGAAATAATGTTAATGTTTAACTAAGCTAGAAGAAGTGTTGTGAGAACGTTTTTACCTTTACAAGAAATGTCCATACTCGTTTACAAATATAATTTTTATGTAAGTTTCTACTTGGTATGTAGGTTACCCTCCACCGGCAAGTTTTTATGTTTACAATTAATTTACATATATTGATTTTTAACAAAACTTAAATCTTTTAAGACGAAATACAACGATCTATTTGCCAGTGGTTACTCAACAAATCCTTATTATAATTGTCAAATAGTAAAAAGAGCACAGATAAAATTCACTGTAATATAAAAAATTCGTCAACATCAGCGTATTTGAACGTACCAACACCAACGCTTTTAGACTAGACACAAAAAATGCTTCATTACAATACGATGAGATGTCCTAAGTCTACTTGAAGTATCAAAAACAAAGACTTTTCACATCGAAGGAAACTTAAGAAAGATTTTAGTTGTATTCCAAGCACACACAATATCTACAATGAGTTTGTCCGGCGTGGAAAGCATAGAAACACTTGGCGATCAGTCAGTTCAAAGAAACTACGACATAAATAAACCAATCGATTGGTACGTTATAGTCTGCTTGGTTTACGCCGTGCTAGCGTCTCCATACATCAGCTTTATAGCTCCACTTTACCGTGAGATTGCCTTTGATACGGCCCCTGCTCCCGTTGACTGCCATTCATGGGATTATTGGTTATGTCTGTGACGATCAAGAGCTACAACGACGAATAGGCAATATTCGACCACCACAGTGGGATAATACTTGACATGTTACCTCTAGCAACCGATGATTTGATGACAAAGTGTTTAACTATTTAGAGATGATTATAATTCCAAATAAATGTGTCTATAGCTCGGATTAAAATATTAAAATAATGATTGAAAGATGTGCATAACCTAAACATGCTGACAGTTGACAGTTAGTTGTAACAGACATAAAAAGCATCTTATATAATATTATAGACAGAATAAATATTTAATTATTTTTGTCCATGATAATATATATCAAAAACTTAATTTCTAAGAAAACTGAAACCCTAATCTAAAATTAAGGAACATAAACGAACCCAATCCGACATTCCCTTCCTTTCAAAATTATCTTTCTTTCAACACAAAAATCATGATAATCTGTCGTGTGGTCGATTTAGGACCATAAAAAACCCCTGTCATGTTTGAAAACCAAATTTGGAAGGAACAGTTTATATTAAGGATTTTACTCCTTCCCCCTCCATAAAAATGATTTCCCATGGGTGAATGATACTGCATGAAGAACTCAAATATATTATTAAATCTTAATCTCATAAAAATTCGTGTTGCTGTGCTTACGGAAACACACCATGCAACTAATCGTCTGGGGACTCTGAGACGACAATTTGAGGTTAGATCACCACTATACCACAGACAATATAATACTGTAATATTTCCGTAGTCTGTTACTATACTACGGTAATACTCTGGGTAAATTCGCTACAAGGATGTGACTGTGTACGCAACTAAAACTATACCAAGTGAAACTTTGCTAGTTGTCCATGGCGTCAATGGCGTCTCATACCCACGCTGCTCTATGTAATGACAGTGTAATTTGGTTGCAATCGCCTGCAGCGAGCAGCTTAGCACCTGCACACGCACTTAGGTATAAAAATCCGCAGAAATTACCTGATATTAAGAGAGAAGGTTGGCCGGAAACCACCACCTAGTCGACTGCTGCACGTTGGTTTTATATAATTTCAGTTTTCGTGGAAGAATGCCGCCTCGCAACGTAGGACTTCTTGGTTTGATTAAAATCCATGTTAGGGAAACGTATATTTTATACTGCATTAGCGTAGACCTGTTTGTGTAATAGGGTTTTGTGTGTATTTTGTGCAATTATTAGATAGTATCATTGTCTATTGGACTATTCAACTTGCATCAATAGTTAAATTCAAATTACGAATTTCGAGCAATAATATTGATTTTTGGTCAATGGAAGGCTTAGTTATTCGTGTATCTTTTACCCCCCCCCCCCATGACAAAGTAGGCATAAATGGAGAAAACATTGTTTTCGTCAAAATTTTCGAATTTTAAAATATATCCGTTTTGAGCCCCTCTGAAACAAAAAAGTGGTTTTCGAAGTGATGTCTGTTCGTGTGTTTGTCTGTCTGTGTGTGTGGATGTGTACACAGACAGAACTACAGACCACACCGTCCGGTCCTGTGGTCCGATTTTGATGAAATTTGGTATGTCAATTCTATTCCATGGTACCTCCAGTTTCTTTTTAATTTTTTTGAAATTTTGATTTTTAATGGTGATTTTTTTATAAAATCCCATGCGCGAACATGGCGAACTTTCTCCAAAATGGCCCGAAAGATGTTGATAAAAATTTAGTATGTTGTAGCCCTTTAAATTCTGAACAAAATGATAGAACCCCGTTCATGTAAAAATTATGGTTCAAAAGTTATTGTAACTTATGTTATCATCCCATTAACCGAATTTATTATCGAACCCCCATGAAATGAAAGAAAATCGTATTTTTGAAAAAACCCTGTTTTGATTGAAATTTGTATGTGATGGTCCTTATAATTCTTAAACACATAGTGCAAACCCCCATTGCTGTAAAATTTACGGTTCAAAAGTTATTGTAGGTCCCTAAGTGTGTGTTTAATACTATTGTATTTTCATTTTTACGTATTTTTTGTGAGAAAAGCATAATAAACGGCTTTAACAGGAGAATATGTATTGTACGTTTAACAGCTACGGTATAAAGTTTTAATAATTTCCAACGCTTCAAAACCAACGGTATGGGAACGACGCCTCCTCGTACGGCTTTGACTACTTCACGTTCATCTAATTATGAATCAATTCAGTTGCAACCGTCTGTAAATGTCGTTTACCACTATGGTTAGACACCTGGTTTGTCAGAGTTGACAACTTTCTAATCGAGACTCTAGCAATGAATTTAGTTTTAACCCTGTAGTGTTGCTTGGTCCGTAGGAATTTAACCAGAAGTGTCCTCTCGTGAGAAATCAGAATCATATATTGTTTCTTTGGTGAGTTCATTAAATGGCAAACAACAGTATACTAGCCGTCGCTGTAAAGGAATATATAAATTGTGACAAAATTATGATAAATAAAGATAATACTTATGCAACAAAATAATTTTGTGTCAGTAAAATTATGCCAATGAGATTATGCCAATGTCTGAAGTCGAGATAGTAGGAGCAAGGATTTTTTTTCGTACAAAACAATAAATGATATTTTCATAGCGTATTTATTCATACTAGTGTCCCTGTTGCTCGAATTCGAGCAAAAATTGCTAAGTAAATATTTGTAGCAAACTGTTATAATACTATATTAGCATACTTATTGACTTTTTAGGATTCTTCTTCTCACTTTTGATTTCTGACAACAGCTGGAGTTTCATAACAATTTTTGTTTCCAATGTTAATCTTATGGAGAAATACGAAACTTTAAAGGGCTCCAGGGCCTCACTCACTCATTATTTCCCAAAAAAAAAAAAAGTTTCCTGCACAACTTCACGCTACGTTCTTCCCAATTACACCAAAAACATGACAATCGGTTCAGTAGTTTCAGAGGAGTAATTGTCACAAAAATCCTGCTTGCGTACAGTATTAAATAAGTATAGATAATAAATAATAGCAAATAATAAATAATTTTTAATAAATTCATATAATAAGTAATAAGTTCATATTTCAAATTAATTAAACAACTGCTAGGAATGTACAATAATTAAATAATGAGAAATGTTCACAGCTATGAGAGTAATAGTGAAGATGGCAAAGAAAACACCAAGAACTAGAAGTCGTCTAGTTGAAGGCTTTCTACTATTGCTACGTAAACATCACGTAACTTTCTAATGCATGCATCATTTCTTGACCATATGATTAACATTAATTTACGTCTATGACAATATTTACAGTTAACATATGGAAAACATAACATAAATGATGTTTTGCAACACACGAAGTTTCCAAATACACAATACGAATTTCATCAACTAGAACTCGACTAATGGATGCCAAAGTGAACATAGACTCGATTACAGACCGTCTGTTACAAGGAGTTCGACAGCTGCAGCCTGGTAAGAACGTTCAACTATCAGACTTTGAGGTTCGTCACCTCATATCCAAGTCACGAGAGATCTTCTTATCTCAGCCGATGCTTCTGGAACTTGACGCACCGTTGAAAATCTGCGGCGACATCCACGGGCAGTACGACGATCTTCTTCGTCTCTTCGCAGCCGGTGGATTCCCTCCCAGTGTCAACTATCTCTTCCTCGGTGACTATGTCGACAGAGGTAAACAATCTATTGAAACAATTTGTCTCCTCATGTGCTACAAGATAAAGTACCCTGAAAACTTCTTTCTTCTCAGAGGCAACCATGAGTGTGCAAGTATCAATAGAATCTACGGATTCTACGACGAGTGCAAAAGGAGATACAGCGTCAAATTGTGGAAGACCTTCTGTGAGTGTTTCAACTGCCTTCCAGTTGCTGCGATTATTGATGAGAAGATCTTTTGTTGCCACGGAGGACTCAGTCCGGATCTAAAGAGTATGGATCACATCAGGCGTATTAAACGACCCACGGACATTCCTGACCAAGGTCTTCTCTGTGACCTTCTCTGGGCTGATCCATCGGAAGATATAGCAGGTTGGGGTGAGAATGACCGAGGGGTTTCATTCACCTTTGGAAATGAAGTCATTTTGAGATTCCTCGCGAAGTTTGACATGGATTTGATCGCAAGAGGTCATCAAGTTGTTGAAGATGGCTATGAGTTTTTTGCCAATAGAAAACTTGTAACTATATTCTCCGCACCCAACTATTGCGGGCAGTTCGACAACGCTGGTGCTATGATGACGGTGGGGGAGGATCTCAAGTGTTCTTTTCAAGTTTTAAAACCTCACGAATCCACGAGAGCGTCACAATATTACAAGTTTCCAAAGGTAGAGACGTCTTTAAGGAATTCTATCACGAAAAAATAAAGGTGAGAGAAAGAACGTGGATTTTGTATGCGTATATTACGTTTAGGAAACTGCAAGGTTGAATGTCAGAGCAACTTGTTTGGCGACAAATATATTCAAATAGAGTGAACTCCTAGTAACTGTTCAGAGTGGATTACGTACGTACGGTTTCATCAGATAGTATTACCATAGACAAAAAGACCATAAACATATGTTGATAACCGAAATTACTTTTATTTACTTTTCTTATTTACTTGATCTCCTAAGGAAACATTCCCAAATATTGGCTTACAGCTGACGTAATCCTAAATCTTAAGCTACATCTGTACAAGAGCCACCTGTACGCTTGCTTAGTTACCCTTCATTCCTGGAGGTCCGGGATTGAATCCCGTCAATCAACAATGGGAAATTGCTAAGTGAAGCAGTGCCCAGTGGATCTGAGCCTACCTAAAAGGATGTAGGTTCACCAACCTACTAGTATTAAAATTCTGATAGGTTTGCAATGTAACGAAGAAAGCTATTTCTATACTAGACATTTCACTCTATGAATAGCTAAGCGATAGGTACCTATTATTAGTAACGGGGGACCGAGCCTTGCTCGGCTTTTGTTAGTTCAGTTAAATAGTGAAAATAATCGTACAGAAATTGTATAATTTACAAAAAAAATATTACAAATCATTCACATTTAATCGCTGAAACAATAACAACTATGTAATGTAAAAGCATGTAATTATACGAAAATAAGATACACTTTTATGATTTTGCTAAGTTTAAGTGCTACTCGAACAGAAATGTTCTCCCCTCTAGTCATTGAAACCAGTTGTTCGACTTTTATGCTCACCAATGACAGCAGATAAAAATCTATAAGTATAAAAGAGGATGTTGGTTTGTTTGTATATTTGTTTGCAGTGATATATACCCAAACACCACAGGACCAATCGCCACGAAACTTGGCGAATGTAGAATTTCATGGAGTAGGTTTATACACCTTCAATTTCGTGATAACTCTCAGATCTTAATCCTGGGACCATCTTAAAGGCACATAAGTCAGGGATTTTGAAAGAACTTTAGTAAGATTTGATAACTAACAAAACATATGAATTAAAATAATATTGAAGATGTATCAGCTGTTTACATTAGTTTGTTTACTTTTCCCTGAGTTAATGTTTTGATTTGCCACAATGTTTATAGCAAAAACACAAGAGATTTTCATTGAAAAAAATTACGATTGAGATTTGTCTGTATAATTAGCATGGTAAGTGTGTGTAACTTTTTTTACAGTAGATTTCGAGACACACATTATTCTCTCAAGTATTCTTGTCCTGTTGCGAAAAACGGGAAAACAACTAGTATGATATAAACGAAATCATATTAGTTTCAAAATGTCTTGTGCCAACGATTTTTTTTAGTTAGTTTACTTTGAATGCCTCAGTACATTGGAGATTAAGTTTTCGTGGGAGAGGGATTAGCAAAATAATCAGTATTTGATCGGAGATATTTCCCCCTAATCTTCAGTGTAATCTTTGCTCAATAGTTTACAATTAATTATTGAAGTTTTTTCCTTTGTACTGTATTTTTTAATTTGCTTATATACTGTGGATTACTTGTTTTAAACACACGTGACAAGTCTTTTGTTTACTTTTTCCTTGTTATTTTGTTCATCCAACATAGTTACTTGGCAACCCGATTCGCGGACCAAGGAGCGCACAATACCTCCTCTAATGGGAGGTCATAAATAAAAACCGTAGGGGTAGGACCGAGGAGCGCAGAGGTACCTTGCGCTCCTCGGTCCTACCCGTGCAAGGAACTAATCCCCTACTTATACGGATTAAAAGAGACAATGGCTAGGTCGACCCTGCGAGTAAATTACTCCTCACTGAATATACCACTTAAAAGTGAAAATGAAAGGAGTAGTTTTGAAACTATAAATATTTTAACTTTTAACAGAGACAATGCAAGATACTGTATGAAGTATTCGAAAAAGTTATCTTAAAAACAATTTGTTTTTGTCCGACGTTAATCAGCCCATTTTAAATACAAACAAACTGCATATTTTTCTAAGTGCAGATTAATACAAATTAAATATTTATCACTAAATAGTACGGAACTAAATTTTCATTATTTTATTATGATTAAAATCATATTATATTATGTGAGACAGGTAAACATTCTCTCTGCGTTTCAGAATTATTAAATCATGTACAGTATTTTGTTTTGCAGGTACAGTTTGAATAATTTTAAAATAGCTTTGAAGGCATGACGACTATTGCTTATGCATGATTGTACATAATTTGTCTTGATCCTCTCTCTACCCGTGATTCACCCTTTGTCCTGCGGAAACACCTGAAATTTTCTCTCGTGGTTGAGTTAGGATATTGAATGACTCAATATACTACCGGACGTTCGTACTATTTAGAAGCAACGCATACCATTTTTGAAAGTAATTCTTAAGAACAACATATTATGTTGTGCATTTCCGGCTTAGGTGGGTGAGCCTATTGCTGAACGTGATATTTGCCAAATTACAATGTACCTGGGCTAAATTTACTTCAAAAAGTAGTGTTGTTCACATAGGCTTTGTCTAAACTTAAAAATACTTTATTATAAGAATTACTTAGGTTTTCTGGAAGTACGAGGCATGTTTTTTTTAAGTAAGTACCGTTTTTAAATTTCTCCGTTGCAGCGCTGCGATTGGCATTTTGGACACTTTCGCTGTACATGTGCATCTATTGGCAAGCCCTAGCCGAAAATTCGACAACAATCGGCCCTGTTTACATCCGGTATCGAGCATTCAAAATGGTGCCGCCAATTGAGACTGCCGCCGACTGTGAAGTGCGCGCTGTAATTAGATTTTTAAGTGCAAAAGGTTTGAAAGCCATTGCAATTTGTCAACAGATTAGTGATGTGTATGGCGAGAACATTTATGAGTGACGGAATGGTACGCAGGTGGGTAAGGGCATCTAAAGACGGCCCCACCAACGTCCATCATGAGCAACGCACTGGGCAGCGTCACTGTCCCCAGTACTCAGTGCGTTGCTCATCATGAACGTTGGTGGTGCCGTCTTTAGATGCCCTTACCCACTTGTGTACCATTCTGTCACTCATAAATGTTCTCGCTATACACATCACTAATCTGTTGACAAATTGCAATGGCTTTCACACCATTAGAACATAAAAATCTAATTACAGCGCGCACTTCACAGTCGGCGGCAGTCTCAATTGGCGGCACCATTTTGAATGCTCGATACCGGATGTAAACACAGCCGATTGTTGTAGAATTTCCGGCTAGGGCTTGCCAATAGATGCACATATACAGCGCAAATGTCCAAAATGCCAATCGCAGCGCTGGAACGGAGAAGTTTAAAAACGGTACTTACTTAAAAAACATGCCTCGTATATTGTCGTAGTAGTATATTGTTGGGAATATCTGAAAGTAAATCGATGGGTTTGTTTCGTTTCGTTTCGTTTCTGTATTATTGCCGACGTAAAATTTTATCTAATGAAAACCTTTACCCTTAAGTTCCTATAATTAATTATTCCTAACTAATTAGACAAGCACAAATTCGTTTAATCAGAATTTACTTGGCTATTTCCCAAGTATGGTTTAAGCATCGTTATAGGTAGATGTTATAGCCTCCGGATTACGAATAAACATAAACATAATTACTCTATGTTAATGATAAATTAAAATAACAGTAACCAGCATGTACTCTGGACGGATTTCTAAAAAAGATAAACTATAATAGAAATTAAAACAAGGTCTTAATTCAAGTAGTGTTACCATTTGCGAAGTAAATTATTTATAAAAATATAATAGAATAATTTATGAAGAAAATGATAATAATAATTCTTTTGAGTCTAGAATCAAATAAGAGATTTATAAATCTTAAGTTATTGTCGTTCTTTCTGTACTGTAGCTTGAAATACATTAGGGGCAATAACCTGCCTGCTCTATCACGCAGGGGTTGATTTTTAAAATGTTTGGACAGTAATAATTGGTGATTTTTTCTCATTTGTATTAGAACAATAACACAATATGCCTCATTGTTAATTGATGAACAAACAATGATTTTATTGCTGGGAATGGTGAACGTACTACCTGTTGAAAATTGTAGTCGTAGGCATCTGGTACAAACTATTCGACCTATTGTTTGGTACAAATTATAAACAGTCAATATTTGGAAATGTAAAGGAATTATGAGTGAAGATCTTACATGGATGTCCCGTTAATCCCCTACATTACTCCGAATGGATTTCATTTGCAATTTCTTAGATTTCCCTTTCACGACAGCCCATTCCAGTTTTTGGTGTTTCTGGTCACTCGGGTCAGTTTTGTAGGATCAATATTTAAGTTCAAATAACTAGAGTCTAATTGATATTGTTAAAAAAACACGTCCTCTTAACTCTTTATATTTCTTTTTTAAACTTTTTCACAATTCCAAAGTAGCTTTGTTTATATTTGAATGCAATATTGTTTTTTATTGTAATGTAATAATTTGTTGTGTCATATTTATGTTCACTGTAACTTTTTATTGTTTATATTTACCTTGTTTACTTATCGTCTAATAAGTGTTTGTTGTAAATAATCTTGTATTTTGTATACTGTATAATATGATATAGGCAGTTCCATTTATGTTATATTCGAGAAGTTAAAAGAAGCATGTATCAAAATAGTCTTGAATGCCGTATTTTTATGTATAATTTTGATTACCTTTTATATTTATTAATCAATGGAAAAATAAAATATTTCAATGGATAGGCGCGTTCTATATATCATAAAGAATATATGGTTTCTGTCCGTTGAAATTACCTATAGGCCTAAAACTAAGATGTAAAATTCAGGTTTGTTTTCTATCAATGGTGAGTACATGTTGAAAGCAATTAATTGTATTCATAGATTTATATTAACAGAATTTTACAAACCATTCCTGCATAAAAATTTTTTATCTTACTAATATTATAAATCTGAAAGTTTTTGAGTTTGTGCGTTTTTGTGTGTGTTGCTCAATCAAGCATAAACTACTGGACGAATTGGACTGAAATTTGGCATGATGATAGTTCACATTCCCGATTAACATTTAGGCATATTCTTATCTCAAAAATCCTTTCGGGCTCCGCCCCAGTGGCTCT